CCTCCCCACAAGCCTGTGCCAGGGCTGACATGAGAGTAGGTGCCTGTGAACTCTGCTGACTCCTGCACAGACCTGCAGCTTCCCAGTCATGGACAACACACATCCAGGCCCGGAGGCTGGAGTGGGTGTGATCTTGGAGCTTTCTGGAGCATTTTATCTTTAATTTCTAATATGGTGAACCACAAAAGAAGCACCATAAGATGAATTTGTAGTGCATAGTGGAAGATGCTTAATTTATTGTTGATAAAATGTGCTGCCAGTAAATGTTTTATTAAATGTTCATTTGTGTTAAACAAGAAATTTTAAAGACACAACAACTATGAGAGAGGAAGAGAGAACATGGACATGACCGGCTTAGGAATAAAACATCTACAGAATAGGAAGTGATATTATAACCAAAGGTAAGTACTGATATCACACCAAAGCCTTGCTGTGAAAGTTGGGAATACTACTGGAGCATTTTGTTGGCCTGAAGCAGATCTCAGGATCCTCACATTTTGCTTCTAGATATGCCAGTCAGGTTCATATACTCTAGAGGAGTCACATTTTCCAGCATTAGTTTCTCTCTTTATCTTCATTAACAATAATTATATGTTTCTCCTGTAACTTTGTTAGTCTTTCTGATTCACACTGTGTAAAGTAAAAGGAAAAAAAATAATAGAAAATACAGCAGTGTTAAATCATCATCTAATTCAATCTGTTTCCCTGAGTGAAGATTAAATAGATCTATGGAATTTCAGATCATAAAGCCCTAAAGGCCTGCAGTGGTAGAGACAATGTCTTCAGGAAAACAATTCTAGTGTTTATTTACACCAGCCATAGGAATATATTTCCTAGAGGCTGCCATGAGTCTTGTCTAATCAACTTTAACATTATTATTACTTTTACAAGCATTAGTGTGAAAATGGGTGGTAGCTTTCACCTCTTGCAACAATCTTAAAAAATAAATCTGCCTCTGGCATGTTTTCTTTCTGGACACAAGACTTTTCTCTGACCATGTTTTCTGGATTCATGGTGATGAACGGTCCTCTCCCATGGAATCTCTGCAAACAAAAATCTCTGAAATATGCCAAACTGTAATTCAGCTGAGCTTTACAACAGTGGCACACTTCCCAATCCCTCTTTGGATCAGTAATGGAAACATGGAAGAGTACCAGATATGGGATGGATCCTATGGAGCTCTCTACTCAATCCATTGCATTCTCATTTTGACAGGGTTGTGATGGGTGACAATTCTCTGGATTCATCCCACCAGTTCTGTAACTGCCCTTAGAGTGTCACTTGGTGTGGATTGGTCTGAACATGAGAACAAAAAGGTGCAAAAACACTTCTCAGAAGACTTTTTCCACAATATTCTTGTTCCATTTCATAACCATATAAACACACTTCATTTTACTAGTGCACTTTCAGAATGATTACTCATTCTTCATGTCTCCAGCTAGTGCCATTTTGCTTTGTGCTTTGGTCCTTCTGATTTTATTTCTGATGCTTATATTACTGTTTTACCTGCAGTAAATTGACAGAAATAATTCTTAGTTGCCATTTTATTTCAACTTGACATCAAGTTCATGATGCACTCCCACTAGTTTCTCACTACATTACCTAAATTTCTATGGGAAGACACAGAAGGAAATCAAACAGGTGTATGGAAAACAAGCACAATGAAATAAGATCAAAAAAGAGACAGACTGACCCACATTATGAAGAAAGGAAATGAAAAAAGGTATATTTAGCTACATAGGAGACAGGAATGATGAACATCATAATGTATGTTACTTTCACACATTCCAAATTTATCTTATCGCTATATTTATTTATTTAATTAGAATACTTACATGTGAGTGACTTTGCTTAAACTGTTGAAGGAATGGGCCTCCAGACTCTGAAGTGTTTCATCTATAGAGATGTAACTAAACACCAGCAAACAGAAAAATACACAGGTCTGAGACACTGGGAAGCCACAGCTAGTGCCCATGGTGCCCCTTCATTTGGCATCTCATTATTTTTCTCATTCAGCTATGATGACACTCAGAAAGAGCAGGATTTTAATCAGATCAATGCTTGGCACCAGCCATGAGCCCCTCTCCCAGCCCTTATTTTCTTCCTTCTCCCTCTCTCCACCTTCGCTTTTTTCTAACCTCAGCATCCCCTGTATTGCTGCCCATCAGCTGCCCCTGTTGTCCTCTGCTGCTGCTGGAGAGCAGCTCAGTGACATGTGGGGCACTTCAGGAGAGGACAACCAGGAGCAGGTAAGGCAATGGAAACTGAGGTGAGGCTGTGCTGCAGGAGCTGGCACTGGGGAGCACAGGAGGTGCAGGTACATGTGAGCTGTGTGGTGGCAGTGGCAGTGGGACAGCAGGGTGCACAGGGTGGGAAAGGCACTGTGTTACACAGGGGAGTTGTGCTTTACATGGGGCTGCTGGCAGAGAGCTCTGTGGGATGCCCCTTTGTGTGGAGAAGCTGTGGAGAAAGCACTTTGAGGAGCTACAGACCGGGTGTTTGTGAGATACTCATGAATGTGACCCCAAAGCCTCATCCTAAACCCAGAAAAAATGTTCCTTATCCTTCACCTTAAAAAAACTGGATGTTCAATATGTCCTAAGTCAGCAGAAAACACCAGGTGAAGCCCTTACACCAAGATGTAGTGTATTTGCCTTATTAAGAGTGTAAACCAGAAACTTCAATTACATTTGAATATCCTATAAAACTTCTTTTATTCAATAACGCCTTTCTGACAATTAGCTTTGCAATTAAGCACATAATTAAAATGTTTTTCTCTCATGTGGGAAAGCAGCACAGGGAGAAAAAAATCTCTACTTCTGGCTATCAAGAGTACACAGACATGCATTCATTTAAGAGAAATTGTAGCTTTAAATTTTTGTTTAAACAAAGTTCATAAAGAGGACAACTAAATTTTCTGTTCAGTACAGATAAAAAAACATGTTTATTTGTGGAAATCATATAAGTAGACACCATATAGCAAAACTAACTGCTGTATTTTGAACATTAAACACAGTATATATTCCCCTGTTGAAACTTCAGAACATTTTCTAGATCAATTTGCAAAACCAGGAATGATCTGGTAATTTTCATTGCAGTTTTCATTGCACAGAAATTATGGGCTGAGAGAGGCAAATGAGATGTGGTACATTAGAGGCCAAGACATACACATAAAAGTTGTAGTAAAAACACAGGTGCTGATTCCCTAAGCTGAAGTTTTTATCAAGAGGGTGGGAGTTCATGTTTTGTAGTAGGAGTAATGCTATAAGAAATATCCAGATGGGCATTGACACTATTCAAATTTAAATTGTCACTGGAGCTTTTGGAGCCAAAGAAGGGCTGACACCCTTTTATATTGAATCAAACTCTGTTCTAAACTAAGTTTATCCTTTTTATATATAATACTATGCATCATTTGAGGGATATTCCTCCCTCTCCAAAAGAACCCTAAACAATACCCCATCTATCTGATTAAGCTGAGATGCACAGATATCCAAGAAGAAATACTTAAAAGGATTTTAGGAAGTCTTTGTTTCAGTATACCTGGATTAAACTATTAAATATAATAGGCAGACCATGTTCCCCCAAAGACCTTTTTAATGAACTCTTAAATGGTAATCCTCAGCTATTCAGTCAAAGCTCATATAGAATTGAGACTTGCATGGGAGATCAAGGGCAAGAAGAATTCCTATTGCTACATTAGTAACAAACAGCTGAACAAGAAAAAAAAAATGGGCCTGTTGCTTAATTAGGCGGCTTAATTAGTTAACAGTGGCCACAGATAAAGCTGAGCAGCAGGTTAAGTTAGAGCCCTGTGCATTCTGTTGGATTGTATGAGCAGACTGATGTCTCTTCTAAATTACACGGCTCTGATTCTGGGGAGGGAACTGTGAGGTGGCAGAGAAATTCACTGCATCACACAGACATGCACAGGCTCACAGATTATGGGCCAGCAACAAAGAACCAACAAATGTGGGACAACTTTTTCTCAAGACTGCTGACGTCAAGGAGCAGTACAGTGCAAGGGCAGCTGTTGAGGAATCCATCCAGCCCAGGTAGCTGGGTTTGCACTGCAGGGTGAGCTCTGGGTGGGAGGAGCCCGAGGCCAGGGCCATGAACTGGTGCTGACCCTCTGCATAACAAAGGGGTCCTTTGGCCCAGCCTGCTGAGGGGCACAGAGACACAGCAGGAGCCAAGGACCACCACACTGGGGCACTTAAATTGCGAGGGTGTAAAAGCCCAGGGATTCCTTTGTTTGGGGTCCCTCCCTGGAGGCACCAAACTCAGGCTATTTTGTTATTTAGTTATTGAATCAAGATTAAACCATTAAAATATCTGGACATCTGAGACTTTGCTATGGGAAATGTGGGGTCGAGCTGGTATTGGTGTGAATGGGACTCTCAGAGTGGCTCCTGCATGGTTGGACAGGTGAGTTTCCTTAACATAGCCACCTTCAATGGGACAAATGTAGATGCAGCTGGTTCTGCTTCTGTGGATTATATCCATGCATATGTTTGCACAGAAAGGAAGTGACACAATGGAAGTCTCTCTTACATCACACAAATATTAATGTTTTGGAAAGTCCATCTATAGTCTAGAAATGTCCCTGGTCTCCAGTGAGTTGTGCTATAAATCATGCTGGCAGCTAGAAACAAATTTTTAGCCAGGACTGGCAACTAAATATGTTAATTTGTTATGAATGAAATTATTTCCTGTAATTTGCAAACTAAAAAATGTTTTATAGCTTTATTTATCACATCAACTTTAATAAAGGAGGAGTGGTCTTGTTCACAAATGTACAGAATGCCTTCCTATAACTGGTTCAGGTTATAAACAATAGAATTATTACCTTCAATTCTAAAATGTAAGTGGTGAGGTAGCAATGTACTCTAATATTTTCATTTCATAAATTTTTACACACAAAGACAGAATTTTGGAGAAGGAGAGTAATTTTTAACAAAAATTTAAAAGAATAGTATCAGAAACTGAACAGAACTTACATCCTAGAGATGTTGGGGAGATTGGAAAAAGCATCACTTGGAATTTTTCTTAGATGAGTCTCCAAAAATCTCCTAGAGAAACAAAAATTTGGCAGTTAATATCCTTTGGTAACTATTTAAGATTAAAAGGTCCTACACAGCTTCAGCTCTGCTCTAATATTTTTGTTCTTATCTTGCCTTTTCTCCGTGTTGTCATCTTTGCCTCATTTCTATTCCTGTTTCATTATGTGGCTTGTTTTTTTTGGTGTGAGCAATCAATCTGAACTGCAGCTGTCTGCATCATCCCTCCCAAGAACTCAGGAGTTGGTGGTGACAATGGACCTTCTGAAACACCAGAGCATGGCCAGCAAAACATATTTGCCCACTGAAGTTATTGAAGTATTAAGAGAATTCTTTTAGTCATTTCAGTCTCCACAGTGATATCCAACACTTCTTTCTGAGCAAAAAATTCAGGCATGTCAGCCAAAATTGAATTTGAGCACTTGCATCTACCTCCCCAGAATTCTCCATTTTCTTTGTAGTTAATAGTACATTCTTCCACCTCAAACATCTCATGTGGGGGCGGCATGTACCTTACCCATGTGTAGGAGATTTTGGAAAAACCCACAATATTTGAGGGAGATACTTATCAACAGCCAAGCTCTTAACAGAATGAATCTCCATCAGACTCACTCCTCTAAATAAGAAAGAAGGAAATGCTTTCGAAAATCAGCCTATAATAGCTGTTAAACTTATAGCTACAACCTGGTTTTGTTAATCTTTGGTTTTCCAATACAGTTTGGGAATACACTTACAGAACATCCAGTCAATGAACAGTTTGAAGAATAATCAAGAATGATGATAAACTTTTCCCCAGCTGCTATTTAACAATGGTTAAAGAAAAAAGAAACAAATTAGGATGATTTCCTAATTCTGTTTTGTTTCACAATGCCAAGTATCTGATTACTACAATTATATTTGATTTACATAGCCAAATATATTATAATCTTGAGACTTATCAAGCTTCTGGAACTTGCATACAAGAAATAAAATTGTAGAAATATATTTTAATAATACAATATATGTAGAAATCTCCAAGGTTTTGTCTTGAATTAAAGTATAAATTAAGAGAATGTACATTTCTATAATCCCAAGGGAAGAATCTACTTCCCCAGTCTACTCCATATACATGTTACAAGAATGAGTAAAGACTTCTACTTGTTCAGCAGTGGGTTGATGTTTGTCCTGACCTCTATACACCTGGCTCCAAACAAGCCCCCAGCCACGGGAATGTCAATTGGTCCAGAGGTTATGTCCATATAGATGTTGTTTGAACATCCACAGCAGTATCAGTGATGTTACTTCAGTAAGATATATTAGAGAAATAAATATATATTTTACATAGTTGCCTCTTCATTTTAAAATAATTTTTAAATGCATGTCTACAAAACACAATAAGTAAATACACACCACCCAAAGATTTTCAGATTTAAATGATATGATTTATAATTTGAATCATGTCAACAAAAGCTTTATGTATTTTAATGAACTATTCTCCACCAATACAGAAGGGAAAATTTACCATATGTCAATATGAAACAGAGTTTGTCAATTTGAAACAAAGTAAAAAAAATTATATTCAAAATTCATTTTTTTCTGAGAAAATTGTAACAAGCAGTGACTTTCTAGCTTTTATATAGGAGAAATAAACATGACAACAAAGTAATGGCTAGGTAAACAACTATTGGCACACTCATTTTTAGTTTTTTTAGATCCAATTCAATCCAACACAGAAATATATGTTTTAAATTATTCTGAAATAAATACATTGTAGTCTTTCTGTTGGTGCAAAAATAGCTATAAAAAGGCATTTCAAATATTGAAATTCGTGCTGAGCTTATCAGAAGATGATTACCACCTAGTGTCCAATGCTAGTATTACCACTGTAATCGGAATGAGGGAAAGATTCACACAGCAAAGGAACTTTGCAAGTAGGGAATCACTTCTGAACATGCAAGACTACATAGCTGCTTTTGTACAACTAGCAGTCCAACAGAATAACATAAAGTATCCCTCAAAACTGGCCCAGCCCTAAGAAATGAAATAAATACTAGATTCCTTCAAAATGAAATTGTACCAGTCAGTGTTTGGGACAAGTAGGTACTGAAAGTAAGCTCTTCCTGCTAATGTATCCTCTTCCTGCAAACTGAGGTACGTATGGGCACTCTTAGACTGACAGGCAAGAATTTACCTTGGTTACTTGTCAATTTATAGCAAGTAGAAAACACCAATCCACAATGATGAAGCTTATCCTTGCTCTATTTGTGATCATCCAGTGCCTCTGACTGGATTTGAGTAAAAAAGACTTAACAGGAAGGAATGATCCCATCCTCAGTCAGTTTTCAGATGACACCAAGATGGGCAGGAATGCGGATCTGCTGGAGGGTAGGAAGTCTCTGCAGAGGGTCCTGTACAGGCTGGAATGATGACCCAAGGCAACTGTATGAGGTTTCACACAGCAAAGTGCCAGTTTGTGTTCCCTCCCAGCTCCTTGTGCACCTCCAGCCGGGTAGGGTAGTATGAGAAGCAGAAAAGGCTGTGGCTCTCTAAGCACTGCCCAACAATAACTAATACATCCCTGAATCACCAACTGTTTTCCAGCACAAATACAAATCAAATCCAATCCATAGCACCATACTTGGTACTATGAAGAAAATTAACTATTTTTCCAGTCAAAGTCAGGTCACTTCTCTGCAACTTTTTTATTTTTTTTTTTTATTTGTTCCCAGACCTCTTAAGTCCTTTGCCTGAGGAAATGAAGCATTACCTGGAGAATAGACCAAAGAAAATCTGAAGTGTACTGGACATACAGCAATCTATGGGACCAGAAATGTTGCACCTAAGGGCAGTGAGGGTGCTGGCTGATATCATTCTGAGGCTACCCTATCATCTTTGAAATGTCATGGTGATCAAGGGAGGTTATGTCTGAAAAAGAAAAGCAGCATGCACGTCTTCTAGTGAGGCAAAAAGGAGGATATGAGGAAACACAGGCTAGTGGCTGCTATGTAGTTAATTTTTGTGTGCAAGTAATTTTATACATTTGAATGTCCTTTTGCAGGTGCTATATACATGATCAGAAGAAAAAAAAAAATCCTTTTTTTCATCTATATTCCTATTTTAATAATTCCTACCATTCAGTTTGACTTTTTGACTTCTGCCGAGCAGCTGGCAGCAATTTTAGGCACTTAGTGGTTCTCTGATTAAATGCAATAGTAGCCAGCAATTACTGCCTATTCTTACTCTCTTTCCCTTTAGGAAGTGAGCCTCTTCAGACTGCTCTTTGCTGAAATTTCATGGCTCTGTTTGAACTTTCTTTGCAACAATTTATAGGCTTTTAGTTCAATATTTCAGAAACACAACTCTTCTCTATTGTAGTTAGAGTACATTTTATAGCAGGCTATCATAAAAGTTTAAAGTTCAGGGTAAAAAAAAAGTAGCAGTACTGGGTTTAGGTCAAAATCAAAAAGTAGTTCAAAAGTAATGAAATAAATATGTCTGTGAGCACAATACAAGAAAATATATGAGGGTGCAGTGTTTTAATATGGCAACTGGGTGAAGTCCCAGGTGACCAGAAAGGACGAAGCATTGTACCCATCTTAAAATGGTGGAAAGGAGGACTGGGGTAACTATTGACCTGTCAATCTCATCTCTGTTCCTGGGAAAATCCTCCCAGAAGCTATGTTAAGGCACATGGAGAACAGATGATTTGAGAGAGTCAGCACAGCTTCACCAAGGGCAAGTCCTGTCTGACAAACTTCTCTGATGGAGTGACTACATCAGGGGAACAAGGGAAGGGCTGCAGATGTCATTTATCTGGACTTCTGTAAAGTGTTTGATACAGTGTCCCACAACATCTTTCTCTCTAAATTGGAGAGAGATGGATTGGATTAGTGGAATGTTAGATAAGAAACTGGCTGAATGGTCACATTCATTGTGGTCAATGGCTCAATGTCCAGATGGAGAACAGTGAAAAGTGTTGTGCCCAGTAGTGGGCAAATACACGTCTTGCACCCAGAAGAGAATAATATCTTCATCAATTAGATAAATAGTTGGGTCAAGTGAGCCTTCAGCAAATTTGTTGATGACACAAAGCTTAGTGGTGCTGTTGATACATTTGAAGGATGAAATGTCATCCAGAAAGACTTGGACAAGCACAAGAAATATACCCATGGAAATCTTGTATAGTTCAACAAGACCAAATGCAAGGTGCTGCACCTGGGTCAGGGCAACCCCCGGTATCAACACAGCCTTGGGATGAACAGATCAGAGCAGCCTGGCTGAGAAGGACTTGGGTTTCTGGTGGGTGAGAGGCTGGGCATGAGCCAGCCATGGACACGTGGAGCCTGGAGAGCCAATCCTATCCTGGGCTGCATGCACAGCAGTGTGGGCAGCAGGGCAAGGCAGGGGATTCTGCCCCTCTGCCCTAGTGAGACCCTGCCTGGTGTACTGCATCCAGCTCTGGAGTACTAAGCACAGGAAAGATGTGAACCTGCTGATGTGGGCTCAGTGGAGGGCCATGAAAATGATCAGAAAGCTGGAATCCTCTCGATGAGGAAAGATTGTGAAAGCTGGGCTTTTTCAACCTGCAGAAGAGAAGGCTCTAGAGACACTTTATTGAAGCCAGTACTTAATGAGGGCTTCTAATGAATTTGGGGACACACTTTTTAGTAGTGTCTGTTGCAATACTGCAGGGTGTTATGATTTTAAACTAAAAGATGGTCAATTCCAACTAGATGTAAAGAAGACATTTTTATAATGACCGTGGTGAAAGCCAGGCCCAGATTGCTTATAAAGGAGGTAGATAAATCATCTCTGGAAGCATTCAAGGTCAGGCTGGATGGTACTCTGACCAACCTGATCTAGTTGAAGATATCCCTGCTCCTTGAAGAAGTGGTTGGACTAGATGGTCTTCAAAGGTACACTCCAACCCAAACTATTGTATGATTCCATGCTAAATTATAGTATTATGTTTCAATTCAATTCAATTATTCAATTCTAAATTTATGTGTCTACTTATTTGTGAGAAAAACCTA